CTTCCTCTTCCTCCTCCTCCTCCTCTTCCTCCTCCTCCTCCTCCTCCTCCTCCACCTCCTCCTCCTCTTCTTCTTCTTCTTCTGTCTTTTTGAGACAGGGTCATCCTGTAGACCAGGCTGGTCTTGAACTCATAGCGATCTACCTCCCTCTGCCTCTGGAGGGCTGGGATCAAAGGTGTGCGCCACCACACGTGGCTCTTACCTCTTCTTATAAGGACACTAACTTCACTATAAGGGCCCCACTTTTATCACCTCATCCAACTCTAATGTACTCCCTAAAGTCTTCATTACCTAATATCATCACATTGGAAATTTGTGTTTCAACATGTGAATTTATGAGAATAGAAACATTCATAGTACAGCATTAAGGATAACTATACCCACCTTGTAGGAAGTCAATCCTTACTTGTATATTAACAGGCTGTCACAAAGTAGCCTATATTTCAAGTCTAGAAAATTCAGTAAAATCTCTGTGACCTTTTTTGATGTTTCAAAAACACTGTACACAATCAGTTTATTTGAGACCATTGTACTGATGTTCTAAGATTTGGTTTCCTGTGTTAACAGCAACCAAGAACCCTCAGATCCAATTTAGGGGCTTAGGATTATTAGGCACCATGTCTTCAGAAGAACGACATGGACTAGAGAGATGCCTCGGCAGTTTAAAGTACTTACTGCTCTTGCAAAGGTTCTGAGTTTGGTTCTCAGCACCCATGTCAGACTGCTCACGGCCACCTGTAACTCCAGCTCCAGGGGATGGTATACTTCTGTCCTCTGAGGACAGCTGCACTTACGTGCATATATACCCCCACATAGACACACACAGACACATATACACACAATGAAAAATAAAAATTAAATATTGAAAAAGAAGGAATGGCTGTATTTTTATAGTTCTTTAGCCATTGATAGGGCATATCACTAAAAAGTCATAAGGCTAATTAGCCAAGATTTGGGAACTGACAGGAGAGGACGGTAGTTGGAAGTTGTAGGTTAGATACTTGATGAGACTATGAATTCTTGACTGACAGCAAGCAACTGATCGGCCTAAGCTGTAGGCTAAGACAAACATTTTGCATTATGCAATCTAATCTGGAAATGTTAAAGTAAATGTCAGCCACTATAACATCACAGAATTTTAGGCTTAGTCCTATGATCCAAGTTCATGTGGAGCTGCCTTCCTCTTGTTGCTCTCCTCTTCGTCCTCATCCTCATGCCTTTTTTCTATGTAACCGTTTTTCTATGAGGTCCACCTGCCTCTGCCTCCTGAGTCCTGCAACTAAAGGTGTGTGCTGTCACACTAGTCTCTTCTTTTTCTTAAATCCTCTTTTCCAACTCTTCCTCTTACCTGACATTCTAGTCCTGTTGCACCTTTTCAGAAGCCAATATGAAAGTGTGTGTCTTTAGATCTGTGAAAGAAAGCATTCAGAGATAAACAGCACAGAGAGTCAGCTACAGGGCAGACTCACCATCAGATTTATTTAACGACCAACAAAGATCTCCAGCCAGGCAAATGTAGTGGTTCACACCTATACTCCTAGTACTGGGAGGTGGAGGCAGGAGGATTTCCATGAGTTCCAGGCCTGCCTGGGCTGCATAGTGAATTTCAGGTCAGCTGGGCTATAAAGACTTTAACTCAAGGAAACAAACAAAAGTCCTCGGAATTTTTCCATTTCCTTTTATTGGGCAATATGGAGTTTTATAAAGATTACTTTCAACTACTTGTCCTCTTTTCCTAAAAGAAAACAGCCTCCCTGCCTCTCCAGATGTATTGTCCCCTCCCTGCTGAGTATAAATGGCACATCTGATTTGCTTGTGAATGGAATAAGAACCACTATGGCTGTATGATCTTAAACTGGCTCCCAGTGTGGCTAGTGCCTTCTGGAAGAGCTGTTACTGCAGTGGGGAGTTGGGTAAAACTTTGAAGTCCCTAGAGGTGGCATGGTTAGAACATCAAGAGGTTTGCTTGGTGCTTGGGAAGGAGAAATGTTCAAAAATAATGCTCGAGGCTCCAGAAGAAACACTGTTAGCATCATCACTATCACCATCAGCAGCAGCAGCAACAGCAGCAGCAGCACCACCACCCTTTCAGCCTGGGCTTTAGAGAGGGAGAAAGGTCCTTCTCTCTTCTTCCCTTTATTTCTCACTACTGAGAATTAATGTAAATGCTATGAATAATTAGAGGCAGCTCATTTGGAGAAAAGAGGCTTGGGTGCACAATTCTGAGGACCCTACCACAATCTATAATTGTATTTTATGGAAACTTCCCGCAACTGATCCACTGGAAAATCTGTGGACCATGGTTCATTTTGAAGTTGAAGACTTACTACTTGTGGACTGTACTTTAGGTTTGACTCTATGAGTCAGAATATTTCACAGGCCTCAAACAGCTGTCTGTGAAGGTCAAGATCTGTCCCCTTGGTGTTGAGTTCACTGTATAACCCTCCAGTAGTCAACAGCATCAGAACTTGCTTAACTGGGTTAAAGTTCAGTACTCACAGTAGAAAGTAAGCAAGCTTTCAGTCTGCACTCTCCTAGAAGTTATCATCTAATACATTAGCAGAGGAGTGGGCAGCAACCCTGGTATCCCAGTATCCTCCCAGTTTGTTCCTTATGTAGTCTAAAGAAGGAAAGGCATGCAGAGTCCTTGTAACCCAGACAGGTCTGTGTTTCACAAGCTGGAGTGAGTTCAACGATTTCCAGGCTCCAAATTAGGGAATACGGCTTACTCTGGCACTGACTCACGGTCAAAGGCAATTTATGATTTTATTTGTTTTATCTTGAATCTGTTTTGGAATATGAAAGCATAAATATGGGAAATACAGTGCTTTGAATAAGTTTAACATAGGGTTAAATTTGAATAATCATTAACTTGTTTATATTTAGGAAACTGACCCGCACTTATAACCCAGGCATGTACAGCCCACCACCACTCTTGTGTGTATTTCTAATGCTTTTCATGGGATTTCCTAGTGAGACACAAATAGATGAAAACCGATGTTTGGTTTTCCTGAGGGAAAAGGCTGGGGGAGCATCTTGATTTTGACAGTCCTTGTTTCAATCAAATATAGAATACAGCAGCTCTAACTTCTACAAAGACACAAAATGGAAGCTGGGGTGTAGTGCAGTGGTAAAGTGCTTGCTTAACATGCAAAAGGCCCTGGGTTTGATCCCCAGCACCAGAAGAAGATGAAAACGCGTCTTCATGAAGAAGTGGAGTGGGACCGATAGTGCTGTCTGTGATAACGAAGCACCAGAGAGCGTGCCCTTTCCTCAAAAGAGCGTGTGTTTGGTAATTTGTAGAACAGAGACTGTTATCTGGTCTTCCTGCTTCTTCATGTGGTTTCTTTGCCCCCTTGCTGACTTGCTGTTTCCGTGTCATGGCACCTAGAGACACGGGAGTATAGCCATTTTGCCATAGCTGGAGAGTACCTTTTCTGTAATTACCTTTCTGTTCCCAGGGATGGAGGGCTGAAGAGAGCAAAGGTGAAGGACACCTATAAGGAGGAGCAGCAGAAGAATTACAGCAAGATGATCGTGGGCAATGGAGCTCCCAACCTGGAAGTGGACTGAAGTCCTCTGTGGATAAACTTGACTTCCCAAATAGGCCTTTGGAAGAAGAGAAAATGTTAAATTTTGTTTGTTGTATTGTTTTTTTCATTTATCGTTAATCTTCTATGGGATGATTGTCTCTACCTCTTTATGCCAGAGGCGGAACCTACAGGTGGCTCTTTGATGTCGCATTAGTCTCAGTTGTAGGAAGGTTCTCGAGTTGAAGCAGATTCTGCCTTTTGTAAAATGATGGAGTCATTGGTGACTGAATGAAGAATTTGTATACAAAAAGTGCTTCCAGACTGTGTTTGGAAGTTGTTAATAAGGCAATTTTCAAAAAACACTCTAATCCCTTTAATCTCTTTTATTTTATTTTATTTTAACTTTATTTTATTTTTTATTTTATTTTATTGAGTCTTGCGTAACCCTAGGCCTGCCTCAAACACTATGTAGCCAAGGCTGGCCTTGAACTCTTTGATTATCCTGCCTCCACTTCCCAAGTGCTAGGATTACAGGCATGAGCCTCTATGCCCAGCAGTTCCCTTCAAGATCTGAAATGATGGATTTCATGTCAATGTAAGGCTGCCATTACAGATAAATTCTGCCATAAGGCTGAAAAGAAAAATGAAGGATTGTATTTTAGGGGAGAAGACAAACGTGATCACTTGACCTTAAAGGTGGAACTGGAAATTATTTTTTCCTAACGTGTTAGAAAATACTGCTTCATGAAGGAAAAGTGAGAAGAGACAGCATGTTTGTATTTATGTGTAGGCAAGTCACAACACACTTGAGCCAGCAGTGGCGGGGAGAAAAAGCATAATTAGCTTTTCCTGTTAGTGTGCTAAAGATCCACTTTCATCTAGTGATTGGTGTTTGTGATCAAACATGATTTTCAAATGGGAGGTTTCAGTATGAAAGTGTGTGGAGCCTGCCGCTCCCCCTTCACCTTAGAGGTCCAATCCCAAACGTTCCCAGTCTTTTAAGCAGAAAAAATAAATGGTATAATTACCTTTTGGAAACTGAGCCTTAAATTTTTTAAAGGGGGAAAATAAGCATTCCCCAACTCAAATAGTATAAGCAATATTTGATAGCTCTATAATACTGCTGTGAACTCTTGAGTGTTCTCTTGAGAGAATTATCGGGTAACCATGTATAGAATGTGAACTGTCTTACTATAAATAAATTTTATATTTTTAAACAAGTGTTGCTTGTTTTTTCCTCCCTTCCTCCTTCCTGTTACAAACAAAGGCTGTTTTGCTTTCATTTAGTGACACACTTAGACTTTATTGGGCCAGAACACCTGGGTAGCTTGAACATCAACCCTTGCTCTTTTTCCCACCTCTTTTTAGCCCAGTTATTTGGAAGTCTGGTCCCAGACTTCAAGTATTTTGCAGATGAACTCGGGCAATTATGTTTAAATTGATAGGCAGGCCTGGCACAAGGCTGTCAGTGCATACTTGTGTCTCACTAGATGGGCTGGATCCCAAAGAAAAATCTGCAGGCTGATTTCCCTCATCTCATGGTCAGCTAGCTCCTGATCTCACTGGGGCCCACGTTATTGCTTTAGTGTAATCCCTCTCCCTGAAACTCTTTTTTTGGGGGGGGGACTTTTTGAGACAAGGTCTCTCTATTGCCCCAGCTGTCCTGGAACTCACTATGTAGACCAGGCTGGCCTTGAACTCAAAGAGATCTGCCTGCCTCTGCCTCCCAAGTGCTGGGATTAAAGGCGTGCGCCGCCAAACCGGGCTCTCCCTGAAACTTATCAGGGTGATTTTGATGGAGAATAAGCACACCCAGCTATGCTGAAGTGGCCTTGTGTTTGTTGTTTTTCTCAGAGAGGTTCCTGTTTCTTTTCACTTTTCAAATTTTAATAGGACTTCAAGTAATAAATCTATTTCATTTTCCAGTTCTCAGAAAAGCCAATAGAACAGTTAGTAGTTGCTGGTTTTGAACACAGATAAAATGTGTCTTTCCGAGAGCCTTGTGAAAATGATAATGCCAGTTAATAATACTAGTTAATAATGCTAGTTAATATTAGTTAATCCAGCACCACCTCAGTCAGAACTTCTGTCTCACGGGACCTTGAGTTATACCAGTTTTTGAGTTCTTGAGGAATAACTGCTATTGAAGTCTGGTTTTGGAAAGTGCTCAGATTTGGCTCATGCCCCTTAGAACTTCCTTAATATTATTTTGATCAATTTTTTTTGAGACAGGGTATCAGATAGCCTATGCTGGCCTCAAACTAACTGAGGATGACCTTGAATTTTTTTTTTTTTTTTGAGAGAGGTTCTCATTGTAGCCCTGGCTGCCCTCTAACTTGCTATGTAGACCAGGCTGACTGGAAACTCACAGAGATCCTCCTGCCTCTACCTCCCAAGTGCTGGGGCTAAAGGCGTGTTCTACCATGCCCGGCCTGACCTTGAGTTTATGATCTTCCTGCCTCTACTTCCTGAGGATTTCAGGCCTATGTCGCCATACTTGTTTTTTTTTTTTTATGTCCTGTTGGATCCAATCTAGAGCATCATGCATGCTAGGCAAGCATTCTACCAATTGAGCCACAGCCTCAGCTCTAGTATTGTTTTATATTCACTTTAGAAATAGTGTTCAGTGGTGGCACACAGTTATGTAATCCCAGCACTGAAGAAGTGAAGACAGGAGAATCCGAAGTTTAAGGTCATCTTTGGCTACATAGTGGGTTTGAGGCCACCTTGGACTATGGGAGACCATGTCTCAAAAGAAGGAGGAAGTGGAGGAGGGAGACAACAAATACTGTTTTCAAAGCTGAACTGTGTTGATTTATGCTTGTAATCTCAGCACCTGGAAGACTGAGGCAGGAGGATTACTTAGAGTTTGAGGATGGTCTGGGTCACATAGTGAGTTCCAGTCCAGCTTGGCCTATAGTATGAGACCCTGTCTGAAACACACACACACACACACACACACACACACACACACACACACAATGTTCAGTGTCTAGTAGTCCTGAATATTCAGTACAGTAATTGATGAGATATCAAGGGTTTGTTAGAAAAACTCCCATCAGATCTGGCCTTGCATCTAACCCTTACATAGATTTCATTACCTGAGCCTTGAGGTTGCTCTTTTTCTCCAACACTTTGTTCTGACTAGATTTACAGACAACTGGTTTGAGAACTGCTAAGAATTTCTGAAATACCGTCGTACACCCTGGGCTTGGAAGAAGCCTGTGCAAAGCAATGAATGTATTCATGACATAGTATTGGCTGGCAGCAGTCTATGCAGAGGACTGTCTCCAGGAAGGTTCCTGCATCAAGATTTCCCAGGTATGAGAAATGATCTTGGTGACTGTGTCATTCCTTCATCGCTGGTGTGGCTCTCTGGGCATTCTGTAGATACCTATAGGGGTTGGTGGTTTCCTGTGATTACAGCTGCTCTTGATGCCGTGTGTGGTGTTACTGTCCTAAACTGCCTTCTGATTGGACAGAGAAGGTTGTGCTGGAAGATGGAGTCTGCGATTGGCACTTTAGGTGCCCTAGAAAGGATCTTGACAAAAGCAGTATGCTTTTTAGGGGTTGCTTTGTTTTTGTGAGACAGGGTCTCATGTAGCTGAATCTGGGTCTCCCAAGTTACAGCATTACAGCTATAGAGTCAAGATTTCCATTTACTGGCTTTGTAATACCCTTTTGCAATAATCCAATTCTAATTCTTGCCCCTTTCCTTCTCCCTCCCTCCCCCTTTTCCTTTTCTTTCTTTCTTTCTTTCTTTTTTTTTTTTTTTGAGTGGAGTATATTTGTTGTTTATTTGTTTGTTTGAGACAGGATCTCATAGTGTAGCACTGGCTGGCCTGGAGCTCACAGAAGATATCTGCCTGCCTCTGCCTGCCTCTGCCTGCCTCTGCCTCCCAAGTGCCCGGACCAAAGGCCTGCGGCATCCTGCTGGGCAAGCAGAGTCTTGCTGTGTAGTCTGGAGTCCGTTTGCTTCTACCTCTCCTAATGCTGGGACTATAGGTATGTACAGCCATGCCCAAGATCTTTTTATTTATTGAAAAACAATAGCAAATCCAGAAGAGGACATGAAATAATGTAAGCACACTTCAAGGGCAATGATGAAAAACAAGCATCTGTGTTCTCACAACCCAGGCCAATAGTAGACCATGGTTGAATCTCATAAGTTATGAAATTCCCTTTCCTATCCAGTTACTTCTGATTGGCAGTGAGACTATTTCCAACTTTACTGTAAGCTTGCCTGTGCATGGCTCCAGGTATAAGTCATAAGCCACTCTTGGCCCTAGTTTGGTGGGAATCAGGATTGCCTCCTGGCGGGGTATCAGCATATTCAGCTCTAGGGTGGAAACTACCACAAACAGGTTGGTCCTAAAAAGGTTTTCATTTTACACAACCGACCAGTGCGGAGAAGCAGCATTTCTGTCTCTGTGATGATGTATTTTCATTTGTTTTTACCCTTTTATTTTGGGCTTGCTTTTCTCTCCCTTTTTCTTCCTCCTTCTGGACTTGTTACTTCTATTTATTTTCCCTGTGCAAACTGGAGATGAGTCTAATTTTATGTATTTGGGAGTTACCTTAAAAATTTTAATTTGCACACTTACCTTAACTAAGGTTGGTCATTTTCTTTTTGGTTGTGAGCTTAAGCCTTTAATTGCTGTACCATCTCTCCAGCCCTTGATCATTTTCCTAACTCTCTTGAAAAAAGGATTCTGGAACTTGAATTCTAACCATCCTCCTTTTACTTAAAAAAATGCTTTACATTGATTGATTGATTGTGTGTGTGTGTGTGTGTCTATATGTGCACATGTACCGTGCATGTATGACATCACATGAATTGAGGTCAGAACTTGCAGGAATTTGTCTCTCCTACCATGTGAGTTCCGGGAATTGAACTCACGCCCTTGGGTTTGGTGGTAAGCCCTTTTGCCCACTGAGCCATCTCGACAACCCTTTGACGATTCTTCAGATCTTACAGTGCTGTCATCATTGTCAATTCATATGCTCGGTGTTTATTTCACTTTTGCTTTGTTAATGCTTTTTTTTTTTACCCTATTTTATGCTTTTCCTTTCTTCCATTTCACCCTCTGTTTTCTTATTATTTTGAATATATTATTTCTTCCATGCATTTTGTCTATGGAAATGGTGATTAGTGGTCTCCAGTTCATCTAAGATCGACAGAGATTAATCTTTCCATCTGGGGTCACTTTCCTGAGAGTCTGCTAGTGCTGAATTCCCCATTTTGTTTTTTCCTCTTTTGTACAAATTTGAAGATTCCTGCTGGATGTAGGAATTTCCATTCATATTGGCAGTTATCTTTCTCTGTGCATGTCCATGGTCATCTGTGGACACCAGGTACCAGCCTCTCCATGATTGCTTTGAAGCCAAAGTATCTTCAAGTGTGTATTTTGCTCTGGTGCATCCAGGTTTGCTTTTCTTGTTCCTCTCTTGCTTGGCACCAGTCCTTCATCCGTGGATTTATTTATTTTTATTTTGTATGTATGAGTGTTTTGCCTGCATGTGAGTCCATACTGTGTACTGCCTGTTGGTGCCAGAAGAGTGTGTCAGATCCCTTGCAACTAGAGTTATAGATTGTTGTTATCTGCCACATGGGTGTTGGGAAATGAACTCGTGTCCTCTGCAAAAACAGCCAGTGCTCTTGAGCCATCATTCTAGTCCCTAGTCATTATTGTATTGTATTTTTTGGTCTTTTTGAGACAGGGTCTCCCTATAGCCCCAGCTGGCCTAGAACTCACTACGTAGACCAGGCTGGCCTTGAACTCACAGATATCTACCTGTCTCTGCTTCCTGAGTGATGGGACTAAAGCATGCGCCACCATGCCGAGAACTCACTACGTAGACCAGGCTGGCCTTGAACTCACAGATATCTGCCTGTCTCTGCTTCCTGAGTGATGGGACTAAAGCATGCGCCACCATGCCAGGCCCCTAGTCATTATTTTAAGAGCAAAAATGCTCCTTTAGAACAATTGCTGTTTATTGTTTTCAAATTATTATTGTTGTTTTGAGGGAGGATCTCATGGTCATCCTCAGCTACATAGCAAGTTCAAGGTCAGCCTGGGCTACATCATCAAGACCTTATCTAAAAAAATAAATAAATAAAAACCAAAACAATGAACCAACTAACCAACCAAATAATAGGACTCTTAAAGAAAGACAAAGCCCTTAGGCTTATGGCAATGCAAGTTTGGGAAATAAGAAA